CTAGCACACATACTCGTATAAAATTGAAATAGATTTATACGTAGCGATTTTACTCGTATAGAATTGAAATAGATTTATATGTAGCGGTTTTACTCTTATAGAATTGAAATAGATTTATACGTAGCGGTTTTTACTCGTATAGAATTGAAATAAGATTTATACGTAGCAACCTTTGTTTGTATGGAATTACAAACACCTATATGCATAGTATATGAAACTTATAGGTATACAATTAAGTAAACCATTATACCTAATATATATATATATATATATATATATATATATATATATATATATATTAAATGTTGGAGAGTCCAAATGATACTTTCAAAACTATACTTTTGAACTTGAGAAAAAGTGTTATTTTACTCAGAGACAAAACCTGTGAACTCACCAACTTTATGTTGACGTATTTTCAAAACGCATGTGTTTTCAGGAACTTGATAAGCTGGAATAATTTAACTTTCTATTATCAATAAAGGTACGTAGTTTACAATAATTCTTTTGTACTGTTCAATATATATTTTATAACTATGATACAAGGAATGACGTTACACCGCCCGGTGTTTCCGCCGACGGCCGGGGTGTGACACTCAGTCAAATCCATAGCACATTTCACGTTTCGCAGCTGCGAAAGTGCATATTGGATGAGGACAATGTTGTGTCATTGGATGATATTCAGGTCGACGAGCGCCTGAACTATGTTGAGAGGCTGGTGGCTGTTTTGGAAAGAAAGGTAAAGGTCCTACGCAACAAGGAGATACCTTTAGTAAAGGTATAGTGGCAGCATCGGAAGGGATCCGAGTGGACTTGGGAGCCTAAGGCTGAGATGCGGGAGCATTATCTGGATTTGTTCACCGCAACAGGCTTCGAGGACGAAGCCTAGTTCAAGTGGGGGAGAGTTGTAACACCCCGATTCCCAAGTATGAATTTAAAGCTTAACATATATACTCATTTTCAGGGCAACTCGACGAGTTGGGAGGCTCCAACTCGTCGTGTAGAATTTTAAATGGCCGCGTATCTTTAAGGTCTACTCGACGAGTTGGAAGGCCCCAACTCGACGAGTTGAGGGCTGAACATGAAACCCTAATTTTCAGGGTTTTGCATCCTATTTAAAAACCTTATGACCCATTGTTAGCCTCCCTCACCGTCCCCTCAGTCCAGAGAAAACCCTAATTGTGCCTCTTTCCCATTTTGAGTGTGTGTGAGCTTAAAGAGTGTTCTTTGGTGCTTTTCTTGAAGGAGTGTAAAGTTGGTGGTGCAAGGTTGAAGGGAGAAGCTTTAGATCCGGGATTTTCAGTGTTGTTACAACCATTTGAAGGTATAAGGTCGTTATCTTGATCATCCTTTTGCTAGATCTCTTCTTTTGAAAGTTTATGGCCATTATTAGCTTATTTTGGGACCATTCTTGGATTTGAGCATGTTATGAAGCCATGGTTTCATATTTAGACATCTTATGGCCTTTGTGGACTTAAAGTTGCCAGCTTTATCAAGTCTTGGCGCTCCTTTATGCTCTAAATCCCTTGATAAGCCTTGTTTGAGTGATTTAGCCCTCTTGATGCCATGCATGGACGTAAAGCTACCAATTTTACGTGGTATTTCAATCCTAAGGGATCAGATCTATATTTTAGGGCTTGGGTTTCGCTTGGAAGTGTCTGAATGCATTAAGGCTAGGAAAACTCGACGAGTTGCCCTGCCAACTCGACGAGTTAGATCGGGTTTTCCCGCTTTCAGGATGTTGTAGGAACTCGACGTGTTCTCCTATAGAATCGACGAGTTGATTAGGGTTTCCCGGTTTATTGAACACTGAAAGAAACTCGATGAGTTGATAGCTGCACTCGACGAGTTGGGTCAACATGGACTGTTGACCTTGACTATTGACTGTGACTGTTGACTCTGACTTTGACCATGGTTGACCAAGTTTGACATAAAGGGTATTTTTGGTATTCGGGACTTTAATGAAGTTAGTTACATGGTGGTTGTAGGCGGTTGAGTTCGGAGCTGTGTTTTGGGAGTTTGACCTTATCATTCAGTGTTGCTTGTGAGGTGAGTTTTCCTCACTGTACTAACAGGGTCTAAGGCACCAAGGCTGGCCCTTTGGATTGTTATCCTGATTTATCATATGATTGAGTACTGTTATGATCTGTTAGATCGGTATCCTGGTAGATAGGATGTTGTTATGCTGTCATGATCTGTATCCTGGTAGATAGGATATTGTTATGCATAGTGATCTGTTAGATCTGTTTGACTGGTTGTAGATCGTTATATGTTTATCTGTTATATGTGCACATGTTTGATTGGTGGCTGAGGCTTCACTGCTTTGTGCGTAAGCCAAAAGGCCGGGGTATTCCAACCTGATGGTTGAGGGCCCAAAGTATTCCATCCCGAGGATGATTGGACTCAGTATGTTGGCATTCCAACCCGATGGTTGAGGGGCCTGGGGTATTCCAACCCGATGGTTGATTGGACCCATAGTATGTTGGCATTCCAACCCGATGGTTGAGGGGCCTGGGGTATTCCAACCCGATGGTTGATTGGACCCATAGTATGTTGGCATTCAAACCCAATGGTTGAGGGGCCTGGGGTATTCCAACCCGATGGTTGATTGGACCCGCAGTATGTTGTTTGTGATATGTGTTATTTTGTGTGTGTTGGTATTTTGGGGGAACTCACTAAGCTTCAGGCTTACAGGTGTGGATTTTGTTTCAGGTACTTCGGATGATCGTGGGAAGGCGAAGGCTTGATCGTGCACCTCCTCACATTTTATGATTTTGATTTCTGGGAATTTCTCTGATGTGAAACTATTTGAAAACAATTTGTAATGAATGATGGTTTTTGGGATGTTTAAAAAGTTCAAAATTTTCATGAATTTTATGGATGTTACATATTAGAGGCATTCACTATATTGGTGCTAGCTTTTCAAGGAACACTCGAGGATCAAAGCCTGAGTATTTTTGATATTACTCTATGGTATGTATTCTAATCTTTATTATTTTCGATTATACAAATGTTAGATTTGTTTTTCATAGTATGTTGCTATAACGAGAAAATGACATAGATCTCTAGGTTGCATGTGCCCATAAAATAATTTTTTGATTCCGCTATGTAAATCTTTTGCTTTGTAACCTAGAAAACCCATCACGTCGTGCTATATCCGAAGACTGTTGTACATGGATAGACATAATCGGCTACCACAAATGGGTAAGGTCGTGTTTCCCTGTGTTTCGGTATAATATAATGACATCAAATAGCGTCGAGTCCATCAGCACGTTATCAAAAGACGCACGAAAACTACTAATAACAATGTTGATTTACTTCTTTCTAGCAATAATGTCGACTTGTAGCAAATGGTCGAAGTCATAAACAACCGGAGATTGATTATGATGAGACTTTCAGTCTCGTGGTCAAACCTACCACTATTTGGATAGTTCTCATTATTGTAGTTTTATACCACTAGCTAGTTCACCAACTAGACATGAAAAATGGGTTTCTTCATGGTCATTTACAAGAGACCTTATACATGTATAAGCCACATAGGTTTCGTGATGTTGGTTTTTCCGATCATGTGTTTTAGCTTCGGTGATCTCTTTATGGCCTCAAACAAACACCGTTGGCATAATTCCATCAGATTGCTCAATTTATTACCATACTTGTATTTATCCACAATCATTCAGACACGTCTCTTGTTATTTTTCAACATGGTAGTCAAATTGTGTATCTATTGTTACATATGGACGACATCGTTCTCATTTCCTCCTCTACCAATTTGTACATCAGTTTATCTCTACTCTTAAACAAACTTTTCAATGACTAATTTGGGCGATCTGAATTACTTTCTAGGTGTTACTGTCACTCGAGACGAACATGGCATGTTTCTTGGTTAAGGAACCATTTCTCTTTCCGGCACCGAAGTAGAATATCGTGGGGTTGCTAATGTCGTCATTGAGTCATGATTGCTATGTAACCTCCTTCGTGAGTTATATTGACTGCTCACATCTGACACACTTGTCTATTGTGACAATGTAATTGTCGTTTATCTCTTGACCAATTCCGTTTGACATCAACACACCAAACACTTTGAGATGGATATACATTTTGTTCACAACAAAGTTGCAATGGGTCTCTTTCAAAAAAAAAGTTGCAATGGGTCATGTACAATTTCTTCATGTACCTCAATGTGTCATTTAATTAAAGACCTTCTATCGTCATTGTTACTCAACTTTAGATCCGACTTGAATGTTCGAAGTCGATCCCTCATTCAAACTGTGTGTGTGTGTGGGGGGTGTGTGTGTGTGTGTGTGTGAGGGGGGGGGGGGGAGGGGGAGTTAATGTATATATGTTTTATATATTCTTCCATTGGGCTTACAGTTTATTTTTGTTTGTAGGCTTTGTCGTAATCAGCCTATTTCTTCTTTGTTGTATTCTTTGTATACACATTTATTGAGAATAGAGATTAGCATGTGACCATAACATCACTTGTTTGAATCATTTTATTGTATGGGAAGTGATTCGTACACAACAATTTTTTGCCATACACAACAATTTGTGCATTATAGAGTTGTACAATACAACACTTTAAAACACAAATTGTTGTGTATGGAGAAAAAATGTTGTGTACGAATCAGTTTCATTAAATAATAACCTTTTCATTTCAACAATTTGACTCTTTTTCACTAGATCACATCTTGTAACGATAATTCTTACTTATTCTTATAAAACAAGAAACAAACACCAAGAACAATTCCCTTATGTATTTAAGAACCAGTTCAGAACAATTACAAAAAGAAACCTTACTCTAATCCTATACAAACAAAACTAAACATACTCTCCCTCTCAGAGATTCTAGCAATCTATAGTATATAAAACATATAGATGCTAACAAACTAAAAGAAGTAAATTCGAACATCTATATATACAAAAATGAAGAGAGAGTTTCAGGGTTTGTGTGACAAATACGACTTCTCTCTCAAATTTTTGATAATTAGAATACGAAGCGCAAAATGAATCACACATTATCAACATTATATAGGTCACAAGTACATATCAGCCCCTCTAGCTCCAGAATAGTCACGGACAGCCTTCTAACTTTAATGTTCCACTTTAACCCTCCAACTATTTATATATATTTTTACAGTTCTATCGAATTTATAAATCCCAAACACAAACAGTCCAAGTTAGAACTATTAAATTCATCTTCCATGTACAGATTCAACACTTATAATCTATGATCGACAAGCAAACATGATAATCCATATATCATAACTTCATATCTTTTTCGAATATATTCACTAATGTCCAACTTAGGAATCTCTTACTCCTCTTAAAATAATTAAAGATTCTTAAACACATTAAAGCATTTCTGACAATAAAAGCCACATATTTGTCAGCAACATGCACATTTATGTGTTGTAAAAACTATATATATAATATTTGTTGTTCATTGCACATGGCCTTTTAAGCTTCTCTTCTTCACATGCTTTCTCTCTCTACATTCTCAATGCTCCATTGATTCAACTCTTTGTTTACTCATTGACTGCGCATTTCCACGAGCCACTTTACAGATCTACACAGAAAAAAAGGGTTCTTCAATATGAATCGCAAGGTTAGATTTGCATCCTTTATTTGTTTTTTTGTTCTCTTCATTTTTATCATAATTTCAGCAATTAATTAGATTATGGGCAGAAATAGCTGGTGGGTTTCAATCATTTGTGGATGGTTTTATGCCATTTTTGCAGAATACTGAAAGATTATCGATTCTGCATTTTCTTGATTATCGTCCCCTCCCTTCATTCATCACTTAACCAACTTTTGTTGGTTTTCAATCATTTGTGAATAAAATTTGTGGGGCTTTGCTATTTTTTGCTGAAATTCGAACAGCAATTAACAAACTTTTAGCTGAAATAATTATTGGGTTTCACTCAATTATTGCTAAATTTTATTGGTTTTGTTCATTTTTGCTGAATTTTGAGCTCTCCAGATTCTTCATTAGATGGTGTTCATCTTCTTCTTCAAGAGGATATGCACTTGATGTCTTTAGATCATCATATCATTCAGTAAGTCATCTTTCCAAATTCTTTTTACTTTCTTTAATCTTTTTGCTGACTTTTGCTTTGTATTTTGATCAATCCATGAAAGATTTCTTGATTATATCTTGTTTGGAATGTCAGAAACATTTTCTTGTAAAGTCACTTACTTTTAACGTTAGAATTGATGAAAATCTGTGTAGCGAATCTTGAATTTGATAATTACCACGTTTGAACTTTAAAAGTCAAAGTTGATAGCTTTTTGTTTCTGCTAATTGGAAGCAATAACATCCTACTTTTATTTATGTGTGTGTGTGTTATAGCAATTTACTTTCATTTTCTTTTATTAGTTCGAAAATTTTGATCCTTCACTTTTCTTGCAAATATCTGTATTGCAGAATCAAACAATCGATATCCCTACAAATTCATTGAATAAAAATATTAATCTCAATTCCGATATGATTACCCAACTGTTATAAACCTGTATACAAAATGGAAGACGACAATGCGGAGGATATGGAGGTGGAAGTCTTGTCTTCGATGTGGCCGGAAGACATTGACGCCGCCGGAAAAAAGTTCAACCTTGAAAAACCAGGCGCCGATCAAGATTTATTAGAGGATGTCACTTTCATCGAAGAGCCAACTATCGTTGATTTCCAAAGACTGCTCGAGCTCACAAATTACAGCGAAAAAGGGTCATCTCAGTTATCGTATCTCGTAAAAAACTGGGAATGGAAACAAGAAAACGCAGTGCGACTTCTAAGAGAAGAACTAGAGAATTTAAGCAAACAACAACACGAAGTTGAATTGAAGAAATTGGAGATCTTGGAAGAACATCGATTTGAAGATGATAGTTACGGGGGTGATAAACGCCCGATTTCTATACTCGATGAAGTTTATGAGATTATTCCAGATGTTCCAAAACGACGAAATGATGTGATTTATCAAGATCAAAGATTGGAAATTGATGGGGAAGATGATACAGATACTGTTAAGTATTGGAAACAACGAGCTTTGAATTTGGAGAAATTGTTGGAATTAAGCGTGAATAGGGAACAGATTTTATTGGAGAAATTGGAGGAAAGTATTGAAAAGCTCGAGAAACAATCATCCCCAGTTGAAGAACTTTCGCAAATCTTGAAAAGAGCAGATAATTTTTTACATTTTGTTCTTCAAAATGCGCCTGTTGTTATTGGTCATCAAGATAAAGATTTGAGATATCGCTTTATTTATAATCATTTTCCAAGTTTGGGAGAGGAGGTAATATGATTACAAATAGCAACATACTTTTATATAAATTTATTTAGGGTTAGATGCAAGAAATAGCAATGTAAATTTATATAATCTTTTATTGTAGCATTCTACTTTCATTTGTACTTTTCAAATCTACTCAATTATAACATTATCATTGAAACCCTGAGCAATTTTTATAATTGGGTAGATTTTTTTAAAGTACAGTGTCCTAATAAGAAAAAGTAAAATGAAACTACAATGTTATAATTCGGAAAAAAACTCAAACTACAATATTGTAATAGGAAAAAATCACGGAAAGTAAGTTGCTACTTAATGCATCTAATCTAACACTTTTCATGATTAAATATTTGAAAATTTTCAGGATATTATTGGGAAAACAGACGTGGAGATATTCAAAGGTGGTGGAGTTAAGGAATCCCAAGATTTCAAAAGGGAAGTTCTTGAAAAAGGAATACCAGGAAAAAGAGAAATTACATTTGAGACCGAATTATTTGGAGCCAAAACATTTTTGATATACGTTGAGCCTGTTTTTAGCAAAGAAGGAGAGACAATTGGTGTGAATTATATGGGAATGGAAATAACCGATCAAGTAAGACTCACTCACTACATGCAAGAAATAGCAATGTACTTTCATTTATTTGTGTATTATAGCATCTTACTTTCAAATTTTTTTCTTGTTAGGACATTATACTTATAAAAACCTACCAATTATAGCAATGTTTGTATTTTTATCACATTGCTATAATTTGGTAGATTTTTTTAAAGTGGAATGTTGTAATAGGAAGAAGGAAAGTAGGAAAATGTAATAAACAAATCAATTAAAGTATGTTTCTATTTCTTGCATTTGATACTTTTCTTGTTAGTGGATTAATGTCTATATATCAAAGTCTCAAAGCTTCTAAGATTCACATAAAAAGACCAAATATGTTTTTAGGTGAGAAGGAGAGAAAAAATGGCAAAGCTTAGAGAAGAAATAGCAGTGCAAAAGGCCCGGGAAACCGAACTCAACAAGACTATTCATATAACAGGTTTATTATAGCATACTACTTTCCTTTTCACAATTCTACATTATACTTCGAAAAATCTACCCAATTATAGCAATATCATCCAAATACAAAGCAAGTTTCATAGCTATAATTTGGTAGATTTTTCAAAGTATAATGTCTTAAAGTAGAATGTTGTAAACTTGTAATACAAAAAATAAATAAAAGTACATTGTTACATCTTATACGTTCTCTTATCTTTTTTATGGTTATTAAAGTTATATGCAATCTATTTTCTTGTAGAGGAGACAATGAGAGCAAAACAGATGTTAGCAACCATGTCACATGAGATAAGATCTCCTTTATCAGGAGTTGTAAGCATGGCAGAGATTTTATCAACAACAAAACTCGATAAAGATCAAAAGCAACTCTTGAGTGTCATGTTATCTTCGGGTGATTTAGTTCTTCAACTTATAAATGACATTCTTGACCTCTCAAAAGTCGAATCAGGTCAAGTTTTTTGTCCTTTCTTGTATTAATAATGAAATAATTGTTTATTCATGAATCATGAACCCATAACTGCTCACTAAGGATAAAGCCTATGTATTACTCCATGTATGTATCTTATAGAAGATTCTGAAATCTGAACATATTATATGCTTGTTTTCAGGTGTTATGAAGCTTGAAGCTACAAAGTTTAGGCCTCGTGAGGTGATCAAGCATGTACTACAAACTGCTGCAGCATCACTGAAAAAGATGCTAATTTTGGAAGGAAATGTAGCAGATGATGTCCCTATTGAGGCAAGTTCTTTTTGACATATTTACCCTTTACGCTGAAAACAGCCAGAAAATCTATATAGCGTTGAAGATTATGATTTCTATTTGGAAGTGTATCCACATGAAAAATCGTTAATTGATGATGTTATACAAAAAAAATTTATAACATCTCTATTTATTTGAAATGATTATAAAGGGCAAATAAGTAATTATACATTAACATCATAACTCATTTTCAGGTTATTGGTGATGTTCTACGAATTCGACAAATTCTCACCAACTTGATCAGGTATTATTACTACTATGTTTCTTAACACAAGATAAATGCATATCTCCCAAATGAATTATTTATTTATACATGAAAGATTACATATTCCATGTATGTATAAATGAACTACTGAACCTTTTTTTTATAAACTTTTATCTCATTTTCTGCAGCAATGCTGTGAAATTTACTCACGAAGGGAAGGTTAAGATAAATCTTTATATAATACCAGACCCATGTTCAGAAAGTCAACAAAAGTCAGAGTTCGATATGGAAGAGTCTGAATCGCATGAAAGAGTGGTGTGGATACGTTGCGATGTTGAAGATAGTGGAATCGGAATCCCAGGTGCTTTTTTATGTTCTTTATCTTCTCAATGAACCATTTATTTTTATTTTTTTTCTCATAATTTTATCACTTTGATGTGATAGAAACCGCGTTACCATCGTTATTCAAGAAATACATGCAAGCTGGTGCTGATACGGCTCGGAAATATGGTGGGACCGGATTAGGTTTAGCCATCTGCAAACAACTGGTAATTAATATTTCTTAGGGCTAAATGCAAAAATAGCAATATTTATCTTTATTTCTAGAATCATGATACGATATCGTTTGTTTCTTGCTAATAGGTTGAGCTTATGGGAGGAAGTCTCACAGTTTCTAGCAAAGAACACTGCGGATCTACATTCACGTTTGTTCTACCCCACAAAATTCCACATGCGTGCGAAAGTTCAGATGAAACCGATGATTTTAAAGATATGGATGACAACACATCCACAGAAGACGATGAAAATTGTGGATTTTTCCAATTCAAACCCCGGACTCTAGGCTCGTTGTTCTCCTCTAACGGGTCGGGTCGGGCCCACGGGTTAACGGGAACCGAACTCAATTTTGAAAAGAGTAATTCGGAGAATAATTATAGCACAAAGTATGATTCGTTTGATCATGATCATCCGTTTCACGATCCTTGTATCCAAAAAAACCGGCCCTTGAATCCGGATGCACAGAGGATACATTCTAACGGAAACTCGGGGGGTATTTCGGGAAACGTGCATGAAAAAACCAAATCATTGAGGCCGAAGATTCTTCTTGTTGAAGATCATGTTGTGAATGTGATGGTAGCAAAGCGGATGATGAGACAATTGAATCAAGATATGGATGTTGTGAATAACGGGGTTGAAGCAGTGCGAGCTTTTCAACGTTGTGATTATGGTCTCATTCTTATGGTATTCACTATTCACTTAAACTTTTATCTTATTATGATATGTATTTAAGAAATAGCAATGTACTTTTTATCTGTTTGTTTATTATATAGCATCCTAGTGACCCTACTTTCATTTCTTTCGTCCTCTTCTTCATATGTGGCTTAACACAATGTCCAAAAAGTGAAATGTTGTAATAAGAAGAAATGAAAGTAGGATGCTATAATAATAATAAACAAATAAACGAAAGTATGTTGTTATTTCTTGCATGTAACCCTAATTTTTTATTTTGTTATGGTGATTTTGTAATGTAGGATGTATGTATGCCGGTAATGGATGGTCTTCAAGCTACACGGTTGATCCGGTCATATGAGAAAACCGGCAATTGGGATGAAGCGCGGTTAGCTGGAGTTGAGTTATCTGGCGATCACATACCCAAGGAACAAAGAAGGAGAATTCCCATCATTGCGGTAAGTACCTTAAGCAAAATTACTTATTTGCCCTTGTCATGCAAATTTTGCCAACACTTGTTTTCCATTTTGTTGATTTGAAGCAAAATTGCCTATTTTCCCTTTATCATATATTATACTCACTCCATCATGTACATAGTCAAATCACCATTTAGGAAAGACAAGCAAAGGAATCTTATGGATGGAATTGGGATTTGAGATTCCATTTTATGGTGTGTTTGGTTAACAAATGGATGAAATTCAAATCCATAGGATTCCTTCGTTTGGATTAGAAGACCATAATACCCTCTAAAAACATTTTATAAACCAAACAACCATAGTTGCCCTTAAAACTAGCTAAAGATAGATTCTCGTTTGGTCTTACTTTGGTATTTTTATCATTTGATTATTTATCTATCTTTTCCTATTTTTGTGGGTCCCATCATCGAATTATGTGGGCCCAAAAAGTGACAATTACAAAAAGATCAACTTTTCACGTCTTTTAGACCAAAAAAACAATTCAACTATTGATAAAATTTGATGGTTTATGTGCAGATGACTGCAAATGCAATGTCAGAAAATGCAGAAGAATGTTTTGCGAATGGTATGGACTCATTTATAACAAAACCAGTTACTCTTCAAAACTTAAAACAATGTCTTGAACAATATTTGCCATAATATATGGCGATTTGTAAATATATATATTTTTTTGTGTATTTGTATAGCTAGAAAAGTTTTGTCGTCACCTTTTTATTTTGTGTATTTGAGTTGTGTTTTTGTCCTCCAAATTCCATTTTTAGAGGGTTTGAATGGATAAATGTCGAGTTACACCTCATAACAAAATAAGCTACCAAGTAGTGATTTTGAAATCAACTGTAGTTTGTATGTAAGATTTTTTTGGGTTTGCAAAATACATTAGTTTTGTAATTTTAGTCTTGAATAAATTCGGTTATTTATGTCTTAATAGCATTTATTTTGGGTACCTTTTTTCCATATGATGATTTTAGATATTTTGGAGTACATATTTGGTCTGTTAATTTCAAAAATAGGTAAAAAACTATTTAAACTATTCAAAAAATTAAATACCTCTAAACTGATTTGCTATCAAAAGGAGAATTATTGGTATTTTTGTTCAAAAAAAATTATGATGCTATCTTTTTATATATACACACACACAAAATAAAATTACAAATAAAAACAGCTTTTAGCCTTAATTCTTTTTCCACTCCAACTATACACAAAAAATAACACAAAAGAATATCTTTAATATTATATTAATAAAATAACATCATACTTTATCAAAACGTGACAACTATGACATGTAATGAAAAAAAAATTTCAATAACAAATTTTGATACAAATATCCGCTAAAATAAAAGACAACTTTAAAACCGTATATAAAAATGTTAATTTTAAATACCATATCCAACAATAATTTCATTTTAAAACTCTCATTGATAATTTTATTAATGATATATTTTGTATATATAAATTTACAATTTCCAGGCTAAATTATGTTAAAACCAATTTGTGTAATATGAACACCATACTTGATGTGTCCAATAAAATTGGTGTTGTATTTTAACATGGAGAGGTAATTTTACAATTTAACCTTGTTCTGCAATCCCGCTAAACCTATTTAAACAACAAGATGAAGGGTAAATATGTAAAATCACATGGCCACTCTATATAATTGTATACAACAACATGATTAACTTATCTTATTCCAAAAATCAAAACGAACATACATACAAAAGACAACTTATTATCAAGAAGCTTTAAATCTATAATATAACCATCTATTTCAAGGTTCAAAGATACTTCCACATCATAAGATGCACTTTATACCAAAATAATCATACACAACAAGAACATCCCCAAATTTAACAATCTTAATTGCTTCTAGACTAATAAACATTACAAATAATTATGGATTCTAACAAAAACAGATACCAAGAAACAAGAGTTCAACATTCGATTAACCTGAAAACACCATTGTTGCGTAGCTGGTTAGAAATCAAGTCCAAGAAACTCCCATTTTTCATGAAGCAACTTGAAGAATTTGAATAATAAGTTTGCTCTTCTTTTACACATGTACAAAAGAAACCTTCCATGATTTCCATCATCAAGATTCAAGCAGAAGCAACAGTAGGAGTAGGTGAACCAGAATACGGATGATCTTCCACACCATTGTTAAACTTATTACTATTTTGTCTAACCTTAAAACTCCCATGTCTCATAGGTTTCACCACAAAAAGAGAAGAAACCATTTTCTCCAAAGATTGAGCAGTAAACTTTGCATACTTTCCACCACTCGAATCTTGCTCAACTAAAGGCCCATAGTTCTGCATATAGCTTCTGTAAACAGGAACAATTGCTTGAATGATTAAATGACATGTCTTTTCTCTCAAATCTTTTTCCAAAATCACCCAACTCGAATGCTTTTTGTAAATGTTATCAAAAGCTTCATTGAAGGCCTTCAACCGTTTTTTCACAAGATCTCTAGCAGTAGCCCTCCCACCCGAAAATAAAATCAACCCCTCTCTGCTTAAATGTGAAGGAAGCTTTCCCCAACTTTCTCTTAAAAAGATTGTTGAATAGTATTCTGTGTAATCTTGGTGTTCTCTTAGCCATTGATCACCTAATAAAGCTCCAATCTTTGTGCCTTTTAGATGCTTGTAAAGATGATAATGATTGTTCATCAAGAAAACGTATGAAAGATCCGTGTCTTTATACGCTTTTGACCATGATTCTAGGTTTACTTCAATCGCACGTATCAGATTAAGAAGATAATCATGAAGAAGACTTTCTTGAAACTTTTCACGTTTCCAACTTCTTTCAATTGCTAGAACTTGATTCAAGATTGGTTTGTAATCATTCCCGATTAATCGGTTGCAATAATCGGTTATAAAACTTACTAATCTTGGAACACTGCCATCTGGGGGTGGTGGGGCCTGGCGTTGTAGCTCCACTTGAAGTAAAAGCTCCCAGAAAATCTCAGAAGCCCCTTCGATTACCCTTTTGATTAAATCCCTTGTCAAATTTTGGATTTCAGCACATGCAGCCCCACCAAAAAGACGATTGAAATCCAATCTTAACTTATTTAATGATGCAAAAATGTCTAATAGCTTTAAGAGCTTAATGGGATCTTTCTTGCTTTCGGTTACTGTTTTTCCAAATTGAAGAAAAGCAAGCATACCTGCTTGAGCTGCTATATTTGCAAAACAACCCCTCCAAACATCTAACCCTAATCTTTCAAATACATCATTGCAGAGTTTATATTCAGCTTCGAATAAATGCTTCACTGCAAACTCCAAGTGTTTACTCCATTTTGCTATGTAGCCTTCAATGCTCTGTACATCGTTGAATTCAGAAACTGAAATCTCCAAGTAATCCAAGTTTAGAGCTTGTAAACTTGCTCTGACATTTGAGCTGCGAACATCTACATAAATAGATTTGCATTTTTCGAGTCTGTTGTTTGCTATTAGGGTTCCGAGGATTGCTTGAAGTTTTTGAATGATGGGGACTGGTAAAGGAGATGGAGCAATGCAGGGTTGTTCATCTTTTAATGGAGAAGAAGACATGGGTAAAGGGACGCTGTTTTCAGTCAAGAGTCGCCGGAATTCGGTTTCTAATCTGTCTAATGCCACCTCTAAAAGGCCACCATCTAGGCGGTTCTTTTCTTCTTTGGTTTGTAGCTCTCTGAGATACTTTAGAGCTTTTTTTAGACTAGAAGTGTACCTTTCATCAGCGACATTGTGATCTTCTAGATACTCAACGATGTCATCTAACCATTGAATTGCCATTCCACAGTTTTCAGAAAGAAACTTCAATGCTTCCTGTAAGTTCTTCAATACTGAAAGGTATCCTTGAAGATCAGATTGAGGATCAGATAACGATTTTTCTAAACCGTGAATTGCATCAAACACCTTTAGGACAGCAGCGGCTGGGACAACGGCTCTGTTTATATGACCACCGACAGCATCAAGAGCGTCTCTTTGAGCACGAATAGGACGAACAGCAGCTTCTAGACATGGTAGCCTTTGATTAATCTCTTCTAATCTAGGCCCGGATTTCCGTAGCGATAACCCTAGGGCTTTCGATTTCTCTAAATTAACCTTCAATGAATTCCTCGCCGACATCAAATTCCGAATCCCATCTTCACCCGCCGATCCCATATCCCAGAATTTGTCTAAACCCTAGACTCAATTTTCCCGGTCTAAACCCCAAACACCCACATTAATTTACCGACAAGAACAGATCTATTGATACCCAATCAATACTCCACGTTGGGAGGAAGAGATGACGAAATCGAATTCTTACGCAAACACCTCCACCTTCTCCAAACACACATACCCACTTCAAAATTGAAGATCATAAGACCATACAGAATCGAAGATCACAAAACGTTTTGAAATTGAGAGCGGGAGAGCGAGACTTACGATTAATGGGAGTAGTGGGGTTTTTCAAGATCCACGCTAGATGCGATGAAGGTAAAGTCTTGAAGAGTAATGGAGAGTATATAGTGTCTGTAAATTGGGTTTGGGTGCGAAGTATGGGTGAAATTTACGAGAAAATGGAAGAAAAAAACAAACCCTAAAAAGAGGTGGATACACAGTAAGTAGTACACGCTTTTTGTTATTCTCAACTCAACTTTCTGCTTTTTCACGCTCCTTTTCATCTCTCTCATCCTTTTTCCTGTTTATAGCATATATTCATGTTTATGTTCCTAGTTTCTTTTTCATATTTTATTTTGTAACAAAGTACAATTGCATTTGGTTGAAAGTTGAAACATACAAATACTTCATTTACAAATTCTCTGATTGGAAGTGTTTTATACCCATAACAACTACTTGTTGACTTTAAATGAATTAGGATTTTGAAAAATAAAATAACTTATGCAAAATGTAAGAAGAAGGATAGAGATATTTTATTTTATTTTTAAAAATGACTTATAAAATCATCGGAATCGCAGAAGGACCTTATGATATGTGGTTTCGTCATTTAGACTATGATTTTGGGGTTACATCTGAGGTATAAAAGAAAATTTGAATTTTTTGACATGGTGAAATCGTTGATGGCAATCCCATATAGCATTTGATCATCTATGATTCTAACCCGATTTGTGTTTTTCCTTTTCTCAAATGAGATTATACAAGTGTCTAATCATCTGCAGTTTCATCATGCCAAAAATAGAAAAACATAGACAAAAAATTATATACTTTTGATGATATGGAAATCTCCAGAAAAGTCCTAAAATTTTACCCTAATTTACGAAAAAATCTCAAACTAAAATTTGTTTACGAAAAAGCATGAATTACCGGTAAAAATAGCGATTTGACCCCTTTTTTCCGGTTTACCGGTTTTATTACTTACATGTTTCACTAAAGTCCCATTATTTTACCCTAATTTGCGAATAAGTCCCAAAATAAAATTTACTGATGATTTGGCCTTTTTTTCTTCATTTAACATACATTTTATTGGTTTCATTGCTAACTTAGACACCTAGTCATTAAATTAGATGATAAGATGAATACGATGGGTTATATAATGCCACATTTACTGTAAAATTTGATATTCATCTCATCGGCTCATTTATGACTATGTATCTACGTCAGCAATGAAACCAATAAAATGTGTGTTTCCAAGAAAAAAGGGGCAAAAAATGAGTTGATGTCTGATGAGATGGATATATTGGGTTACATAAGATTAGATAGACAATTTGATATTTCTTATAAACGTAAAAAATAATGCAGTTGTTGTTAGTTTATGTAATTATTGTAGTTTTCGTTGGATGCATTTTATATTCAAAAAATATATACAATACATCAGGATATCAAGTTTTATGCTAAACATAGCATTATATAACTCAACATATCCATCTCATCATCTCATTTAATGACTTGGCGTCCGTGTCAGCAATGAAACCGGTAAAATGTATGTTACATAGAGAAAATGGCCAAATCATCAGTAAATTTTATTTTGGGACTTATTCGCAAATTAGGGTAAAATAATGGGACTTTAGTGAAACAGGTAAGTAATAAAACCGGTAAACCGGAAAAAGGGGTCAAATCGCCACTTTTACCGGTAATTCATGCTTTTTCGTAAACAAAATTTAGTTTGGAACTTTTTCGTAAATTAGGGTAAATTTTAGGACTTTTCTGGAGATTTCCCTTGATGATATCATAGCTGTGAAGGTCGACCTATGATTTCAATGGTTATGTAAGTTATTTCTTAACTTTTTGACTATCTCTTAAAAAGTAATTAGAGAATTTAGCTAGATGTATCTTTTTCTAAAAAATAAATTGTAGCATACATAAATTTTTTACTAGAGTTCTCATTTTTTTTGTTTAGTATGAAGTGAATCAAATTTTCTACATGTTTCAATGTTTAGATATGTGCATTTTTTGTGATATTTTACAGGTAATGAACCGTACTTTAAGACTTAAGAGTGAAAGAAAGTTGTTAGATCATAATTCACATTAAAAAAAAGTTCAAAATATTTTTAAATTTGGTTAAAGTCGGCTGCAAGATTTTGGAGACTTTGTGCGATTTAACAAAATATAGGTCCTAAATTTTGAAAAATCTCAAAATTTACGCAAAAAAATTATAAATTTTAATTTTTTATTACAAATACATAAAATTAAAACTTCAATAAAAATAATACAAAAAAAAAATTGGTTTCTATTTGAAAACAATCATCCTCCTAATATTTGTTGAAATAAACTTTCCAATAACATATTCATAAGTAAATTTATCCAACATGTACTCTCAATCGTCATCAACGTCAATTCATTAAGTCGTTTTTGAGTCATTGTAGATCGTAAGTAGGGCTTCAAAATCTTCAATTTGGAAAAACTATGTATTGTAGATGCAACAGTAATAGGAATAGTCAAAATAGTTCTATATGCAATAGATGTAATAGGAAAACAATCAACATGTTTTAAAAACTTTAGAATAACAACTGTTGTCATTTTTTCTTTAATTAAGAGATGTATAAGTAATTTTAACTCAACATATAAGTTATTTCCATCAATATCCAATTGTTCATCTTTCTTGAGTGATGTTTCAAGAGACTTACAACAAGAATTTAAGGTTATATCATCTAAAGAAAGTAACTTTTTCTGAACTAAACAAAAAACCAAATATATTATCATATTGTTGATATTGTTCAAACCTTGTAGTTAAAGAAGTAATTGTTTGATCAACAATATAAATAAAATATTTAACCCTAAATTTCTCTTTTGCAGATTGTTAAACACTACAAGAAGTATCGTTTGAAATCTCATCAAAATGTTTTTTTTTTAATTTTAGGTTAACATTTTTTAGAAAATGTTAGATCAATTCTCATTTCCAAGGCAATATCTTTTGTAGTTTGTAAAGCATTTAAAAAAACAATTTCTCTATGTTCTTTAAAAAAGACGAAACCAACTCCTTTATTTTTTCCATAGTAACATCAATAAGCATATCCTTTTGATTGCATTTGTTTGCTAACTAAATTAACATTATTTAACATTTCATACCAAATAATGCCAATATAAACTCAAAGTTAACAAGATCATTTTTTCTAAGGATTTAACTTCACTTGTTATTGTTGGATCATTATCATAAGAATTCTTCAATACAAACAACATTTGACAAGACATCCACATATCTTCAAATAATACCATTTGTTCTTAGTGACTTATATCGGGAGTACTGTAACACCCGATTCAAGGTACTTTTCATTTTTTTGACCCTTAGTGTGTAAATAATTTGCAAATTTGGACCTTAGGGGCATTTTTGCCATTTTCGGAAAAATGAGGATACGTTGGGCGTACGCACCCAAGGGATAAACCCTACTATTTAGGGTTTGGACCCAATTTAAACAACATGATGACCCATTATCCTCTCATTTCTCAGTCTCCATTACCCTTTTGAGCCCCATTACGAAACCCTAGCCCCTCTTGAGAAGATTTGACTTTCTTTGTGTGTATTTTAGTGTGTGTTGGTGAGCTTTGAAGAAGGAGAGCATTGAATAAGGAGCTTTGATCAAGGGAGAGCTTGTAGATCCGGATTCCAGTCACCATTTTCAGCTTCATTGAGGTATAAAGCTTGGAACTTGCTCATTGTATGCTTAGATCTAGTCTTTATGAAGTTTTGGTCATTTTGGTCCCATGAATGAGATCTAGTGGGAATTCTTCCACTCCAGAAGTTAGGAGTTGCTTCTCTTGATGTTTCTGAGGTCCCTAGTCCATAAAGTTAGCATCTTGATGGTTGTTGATCAACCATGTATGTGTTTGTGTCCAATTTGGTGGAAGTATAATGCTTAATCTAGGGTTTGGGATCATTTGAGCCATGCAAAGGCTCCAGAGATAAGGACTTTATGGATTAAGATGTTCCACAAGGCTTAGATTTGTAATTTGGACGTTTTGAACGCAAGCATTAAGTAGTTAAGGAAAAAGTGCTTAATAGTCGTGTACGCGTCCGAGTCCTCGATTATGTACGCGGCCTAGTACGCCGGGCATACGTCTGGTTTTGTACCTTTCGGACTATTAGGGTTTTGTACCTTGTTGGCTCACTAGTCTTTTTGACATTGGGCCATTGTTAGGCTTTAGGAATTCTTGGATTTAGGCTGATAATGGGATTTGGGTATCATTTAGGAATTTGGGCCATATTGGGCTTTTAGTGCTATTAGGTTGGGCATCGATTATTGGGCCAAGTGAGGAAAGGGTAAATGGTATTTTACCCTGGGCGTTAGACAAATGAACTATATTCCCAGTTATGGTAATGGCCCAATTATTAATTGGGGTTTTATCTGATTGATTAGCACGGGGATTTTCTCGTTCAGCAGCCCGATCATTTGTTTGACTGACAATAAACTAAGGTGAGTTTGCTCACTATACTGTAGGACACTAGGATATGTTATGTGTTTGTAGTCTTTGTGACTCTTGTTGTATGTGTTGTATGCTTGTGTGCCTGTTTTCTATATGTATGTGGGGGTGAAATAGACCCGGTACAGCCTAGTCCTGGCATATAAGTTGAAATAGACTCGGGGGTGAAATAGACCTGGTACGACTTTGGGTCGATGCATGAGTTGAAATAGACTAGGGTGAAATAGACCCGAGGGTAAAATAGTCCCGACACAGCTTTGAGCTGGCATATATGTATGGTATACGGTATTTTGGGGGATTCACTA